CATGCAGCTTTTCAACTGTATCTATATCAAACAATATCTATAATGTCACTGGTGGGCAACTAAAGTTAGAAAAAAACCCCAGCTAAACTAAAATTGGCTAGAAAAACAAAAAACCCACTACTAACTAGTAGGTTGAATGTGGTACAGAAAGATCAGTAGAAAGGCACAGCCTACAATTCACAGGCTGTAGTTATGCATTTGTAAAAACCAACAAAAGTACTCATTGGTGAGAGTACCTGGCATGTGGACAATACAGTGACATAAAGCAACATGACTTGGCTTTGGTCACTGAGTGGTCAACAGTTTCCCTCTAAATATATTTTGACTATGCATTAGGAGAATTTTTTTAAGGACCTTATTGTTACCGACCTTTAAAAAGCTTGTTGCATGAACACGTATCAAAGCATCTCTCACAAATTTTTAAAGTACTCTGTAAATAAAGACTTTTACTGAAATAATGGCTGGAAACTAAGTTTCTTGTCCCATAGTTTCAGACATATGCAGTTCACTGCCATTTAGACTCAAATATCATTTCTGTTATGAAGGACTGAACTCTCCAAATTATAATTTCCCAATGAAATAAGCATGCACCTACACACTCAGTCTCTCCTTCTTCCTTTCTCTTCCTTTTTCACAAATACTAATTTTCTGCTTCATGCAAAACAATAGCAAAAACTTTACTACCAAATAGATGGTCAATATTACAGGCACTAAAGAAGGTATTTGAAAAAAAAAATCATTGAGGTATGAGTCTAGTTAAAACATTCTTTCCAAAGATGGCCTAAGTAAATACAAAGATAGCAAATCTTCTCACAAAATCTAACTAAAAACATTGCTTTTCTTTAACCATGAATCTGTATCCCCTGACTGGTCCCCTTCTTTTCAAGGAGGACAGAGAAAATTGCAGTTCTCTTGCATTTTTTTTCTGATATTTGCTATGGTTGTTAAAGAAGTGCTATGGATTGTTAGAGTCATTTAATTTGTTGAAAATATAAATGGTTAAAAAAAGATTGAAGTGCTTACTTTCTTAGTATTAAGCTCCACTGCTCTCCCCTTGAAAATGTTGTTGAGATAAAACAACAAGCTTATATAACATAGCTCTGGTATGTAATTCATGTTTTTAACATTGTAAAAAAGAAGTTTTAATTGCTGTTATTTTTTCACGTCAATTTTACTCACATTTATCTCAAAATCAACAGATGTAAATAATGACATCAGATATTATCCTGTTCCTTCCTTGACATCAACATTTAGAACCAACTGAATAATTTTACTTTATCTAAAGCAAAATCTCAGTTGTTGGCTTGAATGTTTTTGGTTGTTAATTCTTTATGAAGTACACTAAATCAGTGCACTGCCACAGAATTTACCCACTATTTACGTAATCCTTCTATTTTCAAAGTAAATGAGCAAACTCAGAAAGAACAGAAAGTGTCTCTGCAAAGACCTGAGAGAATTATCTACCCTCTACCATGTACAATCTTGTTGCTAAATGAATGTTAAGATTTATCCTCTGTATGTTGCATCTGTAATAGAGGTCAACATCACCACATAGGCTTTAAAGGTCTGACATCCTAGCAGAAAGCAGCGATGCATATACACATCATGGACAAACTCTGACACATTGATACATAGGGCTTCAGACTATGCCTGTTTCTAAGTCAATAGATACATTTTGCTTATAATTTCAGTTAGACCAATGGCACAGCCTATCTTAATAAATATCTTAAATATTATTTTAATTTCTTAGTAAATATTACCTCTTCCAACAGCAGTGGTAGAATGAGAGATCTGTGACTTTGACAAAGAACAAATTTGATTTCTGAAAAGGGTATTTCACTTTGATATAGAGCTTTTAACTTGAGTTTCTATTTTATTTTCAGCTTTCAGACATCTGTCCCTGATTTTAATCAGTTTCTACATTTCTGTACACCTGGGCCTGAATACTGGGAATTTCTTGGGAGATGAGGGAGGCATCAAAGACACACTTCACACATTTTCCTTGAAAATCAGTGTGAGGGGGACATGTCAAGAAAGAGGCAAGCAAATTAATTTGAGATCACATTCTGCCACTTTTTCATTGAGTAAGACTTTACTCTGTAAGTAGCATCAAATACCTTTCAATATAAGACAGTGCAGAGCAGCCAAGCTATTGGGGATCAACATATACTTACAGAACAATCAGCAGTGACCTAAAATTACATTTTAAGAGAGACTTTAGGTCTTATCTTGTCGTTGACAATCAAATCAGAATGCAACGTCTAAAAATCTTAATATAAAATGCCTTATGTAAAACAATTAGAGGTAGTTGTATAGGAACACAAAGGCCTCAGCTTGCTGCTTTCTGTTTCCAGTGAGTGGTGCCTTACTTCCAGTGAGTGATACAGTAACTGAGTAGTTCTCTGACATGGAAATTAACCTGGTTTCAAGTGAACAATGTCAGCTTTCAGAATTATCAAAGCAAGACTTCAGTTTTCACATCAATCTTCAAGCTTTATTTAGGTGAATGGTAATCATGACTCCTACTCCTCAGACTGAATTCTGGATGTATTTCCAAGGGAAATCCTCTTGTATAATCACAACTTCTTGGGTAAGCTGTACGATGTACTACATAAAATTCTGTGCACTCTACTGAAAGGTATCGTGTCCTATATACTACTACAGATATTCCTTGTGGCTTTAAAGTCTCTCGATTATATAGATATAGATTATATAGATATCTATATAGATATGTATATTATTATATAGATATAATTATAGATATAATATATCTCTTTTCAAGATACTTATGCTTTTCCTTTTTAGTAATATTTAAAGTATGTTATTCAACTGTACATTCACTACTCACATGTGTAATGGAAATATTTATTTTTTTCATACATATAGAAAACTGCTTAATTTACATGTCCTGGAATTGCAGTGAAAAGCAGCATGTCACGCTGAGGCAATTTTGTTGCTTAACACTTATTTACATTTATTTTGAGACTAGGAATTTTGAAAAAAAAATTTAAAATTAAAAAAACCCCAAACCTCATAATGCAGCAGAACTTTGAAGTATCAAACTGAAGTAATACTTCAGGATTCCAAAGGACACATGCAATTTATATTGACTTATAGAGAAAATATAATGTCTAAGTCAGAGATAGAAGGTGTTACAAAGATTTAGTCTCTAGAAACAAGGTAATAACAAAATGCTCTTTTAAATGATATGGGGGAGAAGAATATAGCTTAGCTTGTCTTCTTAACGTTTGAGTTTTGTTTTATTCCAGTTCTTAAATATAATAGAAAAGAAATTCTCATGAAAATAAGGGAAAAAAAGTCACATCTTCGGAGGTGTTCTGGTACCCAAATGTAGTTGTACCCAAACAATAGTTAAAGCTTCATCTCTATGTTTGAAAACATAAATCTATTGCCCTACCAGTTCAGGATGAAACTAGTCTGGCAGAAAAGCTGCTAGTCTGGCAGTGTCCTCATGGTGCAAAAATGAACTTAATTACAAGTATCTAGTCAAGTATAGCTGTATTTAAAAAGTCCCTACAGTCCTGTCTTGTAAATATTGCATCATTCATATACAATTTTAAGTCCAGATATTTAAGTGGCAGAAAATCAGACAAACCTGGGGCTTCTGAAGGAATATGGATCAGTTTTTTCATGGTATTTTAATTATGCAAGTAAAACACAGGAGGAGACAATGGCGACATTTTGTGATCAAGCTCCTCTTCTTGTCTTGCCAAGTGTGCCTGTACTTGGAACATGACTACTTTCTGCAGAACTTAAAATATTAATTTGAAGACATTGCTATGGAGACTCCGAATGGAAAAGCTCAACTACCTGGTCCCTCCTAAAACATTTAAAATTTTTATTATTACTGTAAGGGCTACTGGCAGACATGTAAACTCAAGCCCTCTAAATTGGGTTTCATATCGATGTGTCGCTGCCATTTCCGTGACAGAAACCGCTGTCTCCATAAGGATTTGTAAGGACCACAGATGGATACAGAACGAGGAATTGTTTCCTTTTACACCCATGGTCGTGTCTAGGCGGGATACACCGTGGAGACTTCGAGCCGTACTGTGCAGGTGAGGGGACGGGGAGAGAGAGTTCCCTGGGCCATTTCTCCTTCAGTCGAGACCCCATCTCAGCCGGGAATAGAGATTCCCCGAGGGGGCTCTAGGCGGACACCGCCCCCGCTCCCTTCCCAGCTCCGCTGGAGGCCGTGGGCAGACGCTGGGGGCCGGAGCCGGCTCTGCCCCCGCTGAGCCACAGGGCTCGCCCCCCGCGCCCCTCGGCCCCTGCTCCTACCGCCTGGCCCGCAGGGCCGGGAGCCGCCGCTGCGGGAACAGTCCCCCCGCGGTCCCTCCCTCCCCACACCCGCCGGGCGCGGCGCCGCCCCGAGAGCGGGGGAGCGGGGGCCGGAGCGGGGCCGGGGGCGATGCGGGACCCGGGGCGGGAGCGCTCCTCCCGCGGGAACGCGCTGGCGGAGCGGCGCGGGGGAAGGACCGCTGTGCTCCGAGCACTGTGCACCTGTGGGCGTGACCGCCGGCCCCCTCCTCCTCCTCCTCCTGCTTCTCGTTACTTGAAGGGCCGGCGCCGCTGTAGCGGCAGAACCTGAAAGCGGAGCGGGCGGCGCGCAGAGAGGAGAGGAGAGGAGGACACCTGCCACCGCCGACCCTCCGCCTGAAGTGTCCCGGCCGCCTCTCGCCCCGTCGAGCCGCTGGACTGGCCGGGAGGGGAGCCCAGGCTGGACTGGGCGGAGGGGACGGGGTTGTCCGGCTCCGCCGCTGTTTTCGGCCGCTGGCGGGCACCGCCGCCCCCCGCTCCCCCGCGGGCGCTGCGCTGGGGTGCGGATCGCCCTCGCCCCGCGGAACTGCCTGGCCGAGCCCTGCCCCGCGGGCGGGCCGCGGTGCCCCCGGTGTGCCCTCGCCCGTCGGTGCCGGCGGCCCCCGCGGGCATGCTGCCCTGCGCTGGGCGGCGGCGGCGCCCTGAGCGGGGGTCGCCCTAGAGCGGCGGGCGGGCGGGCGGGGGAGGCCCCGCGTCAGCACCGCCAGGGCCCGCGCCCGCCAGCGGGGGCTGCCCCGGGGAGGGGGGAGGCGGGGGAGAGGACAACAAGCGGAACAACTTCTGCAAATTGAAAAAACGAAAAGAGAGAGAGAAAAAAGTAAAAATAGGGTCGTTCGTGGGACATCTTCGAAGCTCAGCACCACGCGTGGCGTCCAAGCCGCAGTGAAACCCCCCACGCCAGTGAATCCCACCACAGTGACAAGAGGAAAACTGTCTGTGGCCACTGCACCAAAGTCTCGCAGGCGTTAGAGTCGCCTTGGCTTTCTGGCTGGAAGATGATTCCTGCAACAGAATCATATTGCTGATGATGAACCGCAGGGTCGTTGGAAGATGCCTTCCTTGAGGATTACACCTGGAGAAAGGCCATCAGTCAAGGAGAGAGCTGGCTGGTGAAACTGTCTGACTTCCCCCACCTCTCCACCCCCCCTCAACGGGGAAGTGGTTTCAATGGCTCCATCTCCCAGGAGAAGCAGTAGGAAAGATGCCAACACCTTGCCAAGCATGTCCTCAACTTTCTGGGCTATCATGATCCTGGCCAGTCTCCTAATCGCTTACTGCAGTAAGTACATATTTGTCGTGGTGCTTTTGCTGGGCGTAGATCTATGCCCTTCCCCCCTGAGGTAATGCTTCTGGCAAAGGCCAAGCTCTAAAGCTGGTAGGCATAGGTACTTTGTCTTAGAACTTGCCCCTCAACATCTCTCCGCAGTCCCCTATGGGAAAGCATGTAGACTGACACTTCAGTACTGCTGCATCTCAGGAGAATGAGATGTCCCTAGGTTGTAGATGTGGCATTTACAGTGCAAGCAGTAACATCTCTTGGATTTTAGAAACTTTTTAGTGGTAGTAACTGTGATCCACTGTTCACTGTTTGTTATCAGATGTTACCAGATTTCTCCCAGACTGCTCCCTCCACATAACACACACTCCTAACTCCATCCATCGTCCGTGAAAAGGAGCTGTTTTGTTTATGTTCATCCTTTTAGGAAGCACATACTTAATCAACTGACAGGTGTCAACATTCCTAGGATCATATGTGATTCTCTGACTGAAATTCCATTGGAACAAACTGTGCCACTCCTTGGCATATCCTCAGCAGTTTAGTTAGTTTTGTCAGTTTTAGAGCTGCGTCTCAGGCTATCAGAGTTTTGTATATTTTTTTTCAGACTTGATGGATTGTCGATTAATCACATTGAGTTGTGGAAAAAGTAAGAATCAAGTACATAGTATTTTAAAGGTTGGTTTGTTTGTTTGTTTTGCTCTTGGCAGGAATAATTTTCAAACAGTTATATAATGTAAATAGAGTTAATGCCTATACTTCTATTGAATGCAAGTTAGTCCATAGTACCAGAGTGGGAAACTTTTAAAGGAAATAGACAAAACTGTTTCTATGCAATAATAAAAAAATACGTAATTTATCAGGAGAGACCTGCACAGCTTTACCAAAATGAATCTCCAGTGTATTTTCCCAACCTGAGATGAAGAGGTCTGTAATTTACCTATGGTGGGTATTCATTTCATTAGCTGCCTCATAAAAGATTTTGCACTAGGCTTGTCTTGTTGAGCTATAATAGGTGTAGGTTATGATGAATAGGAAATAGATGCTGTTTTCCAGGAGCATGCTGCTGCATTTCTTAACCCTATATTCCATTCCCTCTGACTATATTATATTCACATTTCTCTGTGTTGTTTTTTTGGGGATTTTTTTTCTGAAATAAAATTTTAATTGGTTAAGAGAACCTCTAATTCACTTCTTTTTGCATATTACAAGGACTCTTCATACTGGTGAATAACGTATTTTGTAATTATTTTTTGTAATTTAGCACAGTTTGCATTACACTTCTCATTTAAAAAATCACATTAAAGTGGTCACACTTTTAAATAACATAATTTTGTACATAATGCCATATTCAATCTTTTAATATAGAGGATATACTAAACAACATAGTGGGATTTAAAAGAATTTATGTATATACTGGGAGTGCATATTACAGGATGAGTAGTTCAAGTGTAAAGGGAATTCATCTGGATGTTAGTAATAAGTAATATTTTATTAAGTTTGTGCTAAAAATGCCTGGAGAGTCCCAGGCTTTTTATGAGAAGATGTGAGTTCTTCTGTGCATATATGTTCTATCAACATGGCTTCAGGAAGAGTTAACCATAAACTCTGACACTTTAAAAAATGTTTATGTTCAGCAATGAGAGGTTTGACAATGTTTTGTTCTTAGGAATAAAGCTGTCCCTTTGAAATATTACCTATTGTTCACTGTTTATTTTTTACATTGTTTACTGATGCTGTACAATACAAATTTTGGCTGATAATCTGAAGGCATTTTCTGGTGCGCTTAAGGGACCAGTTTCTAATTAGTTCTCCCAACCAGCGTAGATGGTGTTCCTCAAACGTGTAGTACGCTCTTCATTTCATATAGCACTGAAAAGCATCATTCAGCTTAAAATATGCAGTGTCAAAACACTCCACCGTTTATGTAATGCTTCAGTGATTTGACAACTGCAATTCCAAATGTTAATGAAGCACCATGAACATTTTTTCTAGCGGTAGTATTTGAAACATTGCAAAAAAATGATTTTTACTCTGTGGAAAGAGGGAAGGTGTTTAAAATCAAGATTAAAAAAAATGAAGCAGTTTCTAGGTAAAGTAGCACTTAAGATTTTATGAATTCTTTTAAAAATCAGCTAGAGTTTAACCAGACTTTTTTCATCTGATGTCTTTTTTGAAGAAAAGCATAACTGGGTGGGGAGGGGGACATGATGACTTTAAAAATGTTTTTAAAGTAGCAGGCTTGCCATATTTCTTAGTAAAATGAAAGAAGTAAAAGGAAAGAACTTGTCTATATAAGGTGTTCTGTATTTTTCCACACACAATATATTCAGGTATAGGGAAGTATACTGATTTAAATTTCTGATATCAAGCAGCATTCTGTAAAAAACAATAAAGGAGACTATATTAGCAAACCAATTACACAAACCTCATATTGGATTATCTCTCAATGTATGATTTTACTACAATCAATCTCTGCAATTTCAAAAACAAAATTAGAACTTTTCCATTTTTCAGTTTTTTATAGCACTTTAAATAAAATTTTCTATCTACCTTGCTTATTTCCATTTTTAATCTGTTAGAATGACGAAGCTTATTCCTGAGTCAGTTATATGAACATTGCTTCTCCTTCTCTTGTGAATCATTGTTTCTGGAAATTGTTGTACAATAGTCATCCCTATTACTGAGAGCAACCAGTAAACACAGTACTCTAAGTTCCACTTGCAGATAAGCATATTTATAAAGCATGTTCTGGGTGTACATGTACAGCCCATTAGGCTCTCATTTATACTTTAATATCTGAAGCCCAATTATATTCCCATTGATGTGGCAAAATGATAAACTGATAATTTTTATTTCTTAAATGTTTAGATTATACTTAGGGATAGTGGCTCCATCCTATGGTGGAAGAGAAACCTGCATCAAATCAATTAAGTTAGTTGCTATAGTGATAAATATAATACAATATTCTTCAACTGAAGAAAAATGGTCTGATTTGGTAGGCTCTCAATAGGAGAAGGCAAAAATGAAGTAGTAGAAATAGGCTGTGTCATCAACAAGGAATTAGTTAGCTTACTTAGCGGAAGCATCGGTGAAAGTGAAAACACCCTCAGAAGGTTGTCCTGGTAGGGGGTGGCCACCTTCAATGGCAATTCAGAATTAAAAGAGTTGTGACATTTTTGGATCCCAGACATGCATCCCTCATACTTGTTTAATGAACAGTAGTAGACCAGAGAGAAGTACCTAAAGTGAATACCTCATATTGTAAAGGTAAAATGAATTATTTTTTTCTTCTTTGTAACTGGAATATGCATTTCTAACACTACCATATTAGAAAGTTTGGTAAGAGTAAGGAAATTTTCTGTGATATCACAGTTATATGCTACATCAGGAATCTAAACAACACAGTTTTGATTCAGAAGTACTTTTTAGTGCATTTATTCAGTTGACTTTGCTGTAAATACTGAGGAGCTTTTTATATGTAAATAGTAACTTTTTAAACAACATATGATTCAGCTTTTAGCGAAGTTGTGGCTGTTATGAGCTTTTGGTTTTCCTTATTTTATACTGTTTTGTAAACATAAGGAATAGAACATTAGAGCCCTATGCTGTTCTGTTAAGGTAATACTTCTAAGGCTGAGCAAATGGGTTTTTTTGAAAGGAACCCCCAAAACTGAATGGTACTTTTTGACCTTCTTGTTTTAAATATTTCTTATGGAAGAGAGAGGTATGAAGCCTAGCATTTATGCTGACTAAATGCTGATAGTAGTAGGATAAAAGAATATAAACCTCCAAAATGCAAAATATTTTCCTAAATGCAAAATATTCCCCCAAAATAACTCTACACTTCTACATTGTAAGTACAAGTTCTTTCACAGTAAGAAGAAATGGAAAGAGGAAATGTTCTCCTAATTCATTATTTCTTTTGCTGTCAGAGTACAAACTAAGTACATTGTAATGATGAGATACTGGTAGGTTATATTAAATGACTGATTCTGCAGCCTACTGTTTTGATTGGTGGAATTTGTTTAGCAGAAAAACCCCTTAGCATAAATTAAAAAAGTGTCTCAAAGGTTTTACATGGAACCATGCAAGATGCAGACAGTTCTGGTTTGGGCTGAGGTAGAGTTAGTTTTCTTCACAGTGGCTAAGTATGGGGCTCTGTTTTGGATTTGTGCTGAACACACCATTGATAATAATGAGATATTTTTGTTACTACTGAGCAGTGCTTATGCAGGGTCAAGGCCTTTTCTGTTTTGTGTACTGCCATGCTGATGAGGAGAGGACATGTATGTGTATGGGAGGACACAGATGGGATAGGTGACTCCAACTGACCAAAGGGATATTGATATGACATCATACTTAGTATATAAAGTGGGGGGAAGAAGGAGGAAGAGGGGGAAGTGTTTGGAGTGATGGTGTTTGTTTTCCCAAATAACTGTTAGGTGTGACGGACTCCTGCTATCCTGGGGATGGCTGAACACCCGCCTGCACATGGGAATGGTGAATTAATTCCTTGCTTTGCTTTGCTTGCATGCACGGCTGTGGTTTCCCTATTAAACTGTCTTTATCTCAACCAATGAGTTTTCTCACTTTACCCTTCTGGTTCTCTCCCCAGTCCTGCTGGTGGGGGAGTGAGAGAGTGCCTGTGTAGTGCTTGGCTGCTGACTGGGGTTAAACCACAAGTTCCCATGAAAAATATTATATTGACTACACCTCAAATTGAGATCCTGTTACACACTGGGTAACACTGCTCATTTCAGAAATACCTTTTTGTTGTCCTGTTCTGGAATTGCTTTCTGCCTAGAAGACACGGGTTACTATGGTCTCTAGGTCTTACTGTTCCATTATGCTATTTGAAACTACCAGCAGGGATGGTAACTAATTGTGACTGACACCTGGACACCTCTCCAACAGGAGCTACCATATCATCGTGTGTAGGCTGCTGAACAGCTATTAGGTGGTAAAAGGTCACTGCAAATTTACATTGGATGCAAACAAGT